CCTGTGCCATCCTCCAGCTGAGGCAGAGCTGCTGCTGCATTTTAAACACTCAGAGAGAATTCCAGGAGCACTCATTCCTCTGTTGGGACCCAAGTTCCTCACCTTGACTCTGTTTTTTTTTTTCCCTTTGGTGCTGCTCAGGTGTCTCTGTGCAGTTTTTACCCCTCTAAAAGAGACAAAGAAGGGGTCCCAGGGTGCAGCTGAGGTCAGAGAGATCTCCATGAAGGCACAAGGACCTGGCTCCTCAAGCTGAGCTGGRRRTTYRTCCCTCCTGTGTGTCAACTCTGCTGACTCCACGGRAAACTGAGCCTGAAATTAGTGCTGAAACACAATTTAACCTCAGTGCTTCCTTCCCACAGAGAAAAAAAAAGCACCTTTTTAGCAAAAAGAGGGTCGATGGGCTCATTCTTTGTTTCTTTCTCAGAGTTTAAGATCACTCACCTTTGGCCAGTGGGAGATTTTAATGATTGCTGGCAAGTTGTCTGGCTGCTTGGTGGCTCTGTCAGCACTGAGCTGCCTGGCAAGGTCCTGGCAGATATTTGCAGGGTGCAGAGGGCACGTGGAATGGGTCAGTGCCCAGGGATGCACCAGGACACTCAGACAGCASTGCTGGATGGGGCATTTCACTCAGAGAGGTTTGCAAGAAAAATCTCCTGTTCCTGCTGGCCCAGCCTGGCCAGGCTGTCTTGTTTTGGGGTTTTATTTGGGAAAGGAAACTCTTGGTTCAGGGAAGAAATTATTAAAAAACTGTAACACAGCAAATGGGCATCTGGCATTTGATTGCTAAAAATTACCAGATTTAAAAAAAAATAAAAAAATCCATGTTTCTGTTGTGGCTTGTGCTGATGAAACTTATTTTTTTTTCTCAGGCTGTATGAGAACAAGGGAGAAGCAGACTTCAGGGAGTCTCTGCTGCAGCTCTTTAAGTCCATCAATGAGATGATGAGCAGCAACTCTGAYCAGACTGTCATAGTGAAGGTTTGTGCTTTCCTCATCTCCATTTTTCCATCCTGAACCACAGCAAGGCCATCCAGCAAGTATTTGATGGGTTTGTGCTTAAAAGCTGCTTTTACCCCAAACATGGTCAATACTTGAAGGGTTTGTGACTGTGTGAAGAACTTCTGTTTGAACAAATAAGTTTATACAATCCTAGAATCATTTAAGTTGGAAAAGATATCYGAGATAATAGAGTTCACCCTTCAATTGCTTCAAAAATCTCACTTTTATTTAAAAAAACCCAAATTGGGTTAAGTGAAATTTGGCTTACTTAACTTCTATAAATGTAATGTCAAGGTATTTTGAAGCTATTGTGTTTAATATGCTGATGACAATGTAAAGCCTCATATTTTAAAGCATTTATTTATATCTGAGGTTATTCAGAGACTTCAGTATAGGATCTTCAGTCCTAATGCATATTTTAAAGGAAAAATCAGTGTGGGAGAGACTGAAGATTCCACCCTTCATCCCTTATCCCATTTCTTGTGTCCCTTTAGAGCAGCATCTGCTTTTGGGAGCATTTTCTGCTGGAATTGGGAATGGGGTCTCTGCCCTCACATGGTTGATGGTATAGAAGAGCAAAAACAATGAATTAAAGGATTGATTTGAGTATCCAGAGGAGGCTGGGTACCAAATTTTCTCATCATGGAAAATTACAGGGACTGCCCTAAACGTGTGTTTGATAACTACACCATGAACTTCTCCCAGTGATTCCAACCAGGATTTATAAAAAAATGAAACTCCTGACCCAGCCCTGCAGAATGAGCTGAGAGATGCTCAAGGGGCTGAGAATTGGGGCAGAATTTGGGAATGGTTGGACTCTTTCTGTGCAGAGGCAGACAGTGGGAATCCCTGTGCTGGTGGAAGAGGTTCCTGGAGAATTCCTGAGTCAAAGACCTGGCACAGGGTGCCCAGAGAAGCTGTGGCTGCCCCTGGATCCCTTTGAGTGCCCAAGGCCAGGCTGGATATTGGGGCTGGGAGCAGCCTGGGACAGTGGGAGGTGTCCCTGCCATGGCAGGGGTGGGATGAGATGATCTTTGAGTCCTTTCCAACCCAAACCTTCCTGGAATTCTTGTGCTGTTGGAACTTTGCTGAAGTTTTGTGGAAGAACAGTGATTTCAGTCCCCAGGTCTTTGTGTTGTGCAGGAAGATCAGCAGATCTTTCAGTGGCAGTTTTAGGCCTTTGTTTTGCTGGTTTTTATATTTCTTGGAGAAGCTAAAGAAGCCTGGGCCCAATGAGTCTGTCTGGGGAGAGATAAGAAGTGGCAAAAACCCCCCCAGAAAATGAAGGTGCTTCTTTCAATCCCAGTGTTTCCCTTTCTCCCTGCAAACACTGGGATCTGCCTTGATAATTTATCACCACAGAGCAGAACTGCCACTGGAAATTTTCTCTGACTTATTCCCTAACTTTTTTTGGGCTGGATAGGCTGGAATTTTTTTTCCTCTCTATTGGGAGAGTAGCCTTCAAGCTGACACAGAATGAATGACTGCAGTTTTGTGTTCTTTGCAAGAATTCCCCTTTATCCATTCAAATATTTATGTCCCCGTGGAAGCTGATGAGCTGTTGTTGACTGTAGGTCTTCAGTTTCTTAATATTTTGCATTTAAATTGCTTCCTTATTTTTTTAGCTTGAGTTTTTCAAGGCTCTGGGTATCAAAAAAAAGTTCCCTTAAAAAACCTCTGAATGGTACAAGGATTTAAGGTTGTAGAGCTCTTTCTGTGCTTTGGAATTTGCATCTCTTTCAGGATTATGGATATTCAGAAATTTTTAGGATAAGAGAGAATTTATAGGCTTTCTAGATATAAAAAATATTATGAAAGGGCTATTTTCATTATGATTGGGGCTACTTAGGTATGGATTTTTGTGATAAATTTTATATATCTTGGAGCATGGTTGAGCAGAGCTTTACAAGCACTCAAACTTCTTATACACTTTACTGGTGCTTACATCTCTTATTTCTTTTGCCTTTTTTGTACTCAAATATGTTACAATTAACATGCACGTAAAACTGAAACCCACTTTCATCCCGGGCTATAATCAGAGCTGTTGTTTAAATTTCAGAAGATGAACTGGTAAAAATTAACATTGAAAACAGCACGGAGGGTTTTTTTTGCAGTTAGCTAACTAAATAAAATTTTCAGGGTTTATTTTCAGTGTGGCAGTGCTATCTGCAGYGGGGACAGAGGTTTCAGGGCTGCCTTTCCCACTTGTTTGAGGTGTGCAGAGGGAAATCCAAACAGTGTTTGGAGCTGACAGATGTTTTAGTTTTTCTTTTGCTGACAAAAATCCTCCCTGCACGAGGAGTGGCTGCGGGAATAGCTTGGGCAGGGCAGATTCCAGTTGGTTTTTGGAGCCTCAATTTGATTTTTTTAAGAGTTAAAGCTGATGAAATGAGGTGAGCAGCATGCATGCATTTTTAATACTTACAAGTGTTCTGAGCCTTCCTGGGTTGATTGCTGTTTTCTGCTAATTGGTGCATGATAATTATTTCCTTCACCTTCTCCTGCTGAAGCAGCAGCTCAGCTGGAGCCTGGGATGGTTCAGTTTGGGATGAAAACTCAGATTTTCCTCAGTCAGGTGTTGCTGCATCCCTTGGGAGGGATGGACCCTTCTCAGAGGGYTCCTCTGATCTTTGCTGTCCTGATTTCAGTCAGACAGACTGGGGGCTTGAAATGTTCCAAATGTTTTAAATTCACACATTTTGTGTGTGTGAAATTATCCTGAGTGTGCCACAGAGAGCTGGATTAGAAGATGAGCTCATTTCTTGATGTGAATTCTCCTGTGCCTGTGGGTTCTTATCATCCTGGTCACTYCTAACACATTTCTCAGTGCCCACTCTGTGCCTTAATATTCAAAATTTATTGCTAAAGTCACAGAAAAGTGTTTAAATGAAGGAAGGGAAACATTGGGAGGTGCTTGAGAGGAAAACAATAGGCTGTGTTAATCTGCAGGGCTTTTCCAACAGGTGGAATATTTAATAAGCATCACTTAAAATTAACTCAGTAAAAAAAAAAATGTGAAAAGAAGTTCCTGTGCCTGGTGCAATCCAGATGGGAAATAGCTTCAGGAGATCTTTATTTGGGATTGTGCTTTGGGCTGTTTTACACTGARTTTAGTGCCAGAGGTGCTGCTTTGGTTGAGAATGGAATAAACTACTGGAATAATAAATGGAATAAAAATTTCTTTAGTTTGTGGAATGAATAACTGTTCTAGGCTGGGGCAAATCTAAAATAACATTCAGATGTTCCTGAATTTGGTTCCATCCAGCTGCTGCCTGRGCTGAGTTTGGTTGGGATGAGTTTATTGGGATGGCAGCTGAGATAATGTCAGGGGAGAAGGGAGGTGCTTTGTGYTGAGTGACACAAAAGATGGAAATTACCATTAAAATGATGCTCAAATGGAGTCGGGTAAAACAGATTTATTGCTTTGTCAAACAAAAGGATTCAGAAGAAGGCGCTGGTGTTTGGCAAGGAGTTTTTGTGCTTAATTTGGAGAGCAGGCGTTGCTGATGGAAATGAATGGCTTTGGGAAATGACAGTTTTAAATTAAGGATCTTTTTTTTGCTTTTATGGACTACAAAGAGCTGAACTTAAACCCCAGCAAAAAGCTGCAGTGCTCTGCTCAGAATACGTTTTGTTTGACCAAATGACATTTGCGAAGTATTAATCTAATGACAACCTTAAGTTAGTTTATTTTTTTTTTAAACAGCTACTACAAAGAAGCTTTTGTGACTCTTTTTTTTTTGCCATTCCGTTTCTAAACCCAGGAATGGGATAATAATTCTGTTGTTGCAAGATTACTTTGCTGTAGTTTTTTCTTTTTGCTCACTAGTGGCTGTTGTTATTATCACAGAGGTAATTTCTCTTTTTGTGTTAAGAGATCTCTCCATATTCTCAACTGGGCAACAAACAAAAGTAAATGAGTAAAACTCTTCATGTTTGTCTGTTTTCCAAAATTAGAAATAATTTAATTACCAAGGTTGCCCTGTCTTATTCTCATGTGTTTTTATTTGCCTGATGACATGAAGAAAAGTCTTGTACCTGTTCTGCCATTTTTTTGGGAAGAAATGAAAGAAATTTCCACATCAAGGAGCTCCCTCTGGGAATTTCAGCATTTGGGACTCTTTCTGTCCCAATAAATAAATGAAGCTTACTCTTATTTAAATATTCAAGTGTCAGAGTTTGAGGTTTGAGGTTTTCCCCGCCCAGAAAAAAAAAGGCTGAAAAAATTCCTTTCAGAATGAAGATGAATAATTCAGACCAACTTTTAGCCACAGAAACTCCTTGAACTTTGAGATCTGGGCAGTGTGCTCATTTTCCTCTTGGTAGATCCCATTTTTGTCTCATTAAAGCTGTCTGGAAATGAAGTGTCAGTGAGMAAAGAGCAGCGTGGGCAGCTCAGTGGACTCTTCATTGATGTTCAGAGGGGCCACTGTTGGGAATGCATCTGTTGTTATTTATTCTGCCTTTTTTACCACATCTGAAGGGGTTTTTTTTTTTTCACTCAATGATCTTTTGATCCCCACACTGAGTTTGTTACTTCAGCACAAACAGTGGTTTCTCTGCCAGCTCTGGTGAGCACAATTAGCTGTGAAGTCATTAGAAGGCCTTTAATGAATTTATCTGGAAGGGTGCAGAGGGTGCTGCTCCTCACAGAAATTGGGCTGATTTAGGGAATGCTCTGCAGTTGGAATATGGAACAATCAATCCTGGGAATGGCTCAGAGCTGTCCCCATCATTAGTGCCTCATTTATTCCATTTGAGCCAAGGTTTGCCTTTGCTGGCCCTGATGATTTTCACTCTGCTCTGTGTTTCTTGACCCCATTCATTGCCTTTTCCCCATTTTTAGGGGTAAAATGCTCCCTGCTTGTCCTGGAGCTGCTCAGCCCATCCCATAAAAGGAATAATCCCTTTTACACACAGATCTGGTGTTCCCAGAGGGGAATTTAACGTGGGTTTGGGAGAGTGAGTGGCTCTGAGTGGGAGGAAAGGATGAGCCACTCCACTGAGAGCCCAGAGTTTGCTTCAGGCTGCTGTGGCATTGCTGATGTCATCCTGAGCCTGTGAATCACAGCCTGGGCAAGAAAATAAAATCCCAATAATACCCCCCAGCCAGCAGAGCGGTGAGTGGAGCAGGAAATCCAACTCAGGGAGAATCTATCCATTATTCATGCACTGTACTGTCTCATTGCTGCYTCCTCTCCTTTTCATCCTTCCCCTTTGCTGGTTTATTTGTGTGCTTTGTACTACTGGAAATGACTGATTTTGGGGCTTGATAAGGGAGGCAATAATTTGTCACTCGTTTTACACAAAGAGAGCAGCCCCTTCGGGCAGTAAAATTTTTATTGGAGCCCAGCTTGAAGCTGGGTGTAATTATTGAATTTTTGTGTGGGACTGATGTGCTCAGCTTTGGGGGCTCTTCTCGTGTGATCAGGGGGAAATTGCTGCCAAAAACCACTCGGTTGAAYATTAAAAAACCACAGCAGTGAGCAACCTTAATGCTGGGTGGAATTTTCAAGTGTTTAAGGCACCCCTGTGTAGCCATGGAATGAAGATTTTGGCTTAGTTTGCTTTCTRCTTCTTGTGGAAATGAGGAATTGGAGCCTTTGTCCAGTGCTGATCAGGAGTGAAAAGGAATTGATTAAATTTCTTTACATGGATGGAAAAAAAACTTCAAAGCAAATGGTTATTTGTTTTTTTCCTGATGTTACATGAAAAGATAAGAGCAGGGGTGGTTTTTATCTTCTGAATTTCATATTCTTCACTCCTGCATTCCAGTATCCTGGGAATAACCAGCTTTGCAATGGAGCTGCTGCTCACAAAAAAAAACTACTTAAAATCTACACTGAGAGCTGCTCTTTTACATCATTTACTACCAATAAAAAATAATTTTAATGCTCCTTTGCATTAGACAGGTAAAGATTTAATCACAGAGCTGCACAGCCTTGTAGTCTGATCATCTTACCACATAATCGAGCCAGCCGAGGTGGGAAATTGGGAAATACACTTCCACRATCTTTAAATGTCCAGAATTAAACTTTAATTGGCTTGTCCATAAAGCAGAGCCTCAGTTGCTGCTGATTGTTGCAGCTCCAAGCTGTAAATGCCCGTGGTAAATAAAGTTTTACCCTCAGCAGTCCACGGGAACTGTTTGTGGTGGTTTTTACGCTCCCGCTGGGGCGCGTGGTGCCACATTTTAATTTCAGGATGTAAAATGCAAAGCTCTCCTTGAAGAGATGTTCCTAAACATTGCTGGCTCCGTGCCTGGGGATGGGCAGCAGATAAACCCTGCCTGTGGTTCCTGGCTGGGCAGTGGAGCTCTCCCCCATCACAGCAACTAGGGCAGCCCAGGATGGCTCTTTTTGGGGATTACAGAGATCCTGGAATGTGGGAATGTCTGGGGAATGATCTGGGATCTGGTCTGAATCAGGAATCCATCAGGAACTGATGGAGGAATGTCTGAGGAATGATCTGGGATCTGATTTGGCTCAGGAGTCCTTTGAGCTGATGGTGGAATGTCTGAGGAAAGATCTGGGATCTGATCTAAATCAGGAATCCTGTGAGCTGGTGTGGGAACATCTGAGGAATGATTTGGGATCTGATCTAAATCAGGAATCTGAGCTGATGGGGGAATATCTGAGGAATGATCTGATCTAAATGAGGAATCCTGTGAGCTGATGTGGGAATGTCTGAGGATGGAGCCTGGCAGTCTCCATGGATTAGGAATAAAAACTGGGTGCTCTGGAATCTTCATCCAGCCCGTGGACAGGGTGGGGCTCTCTTGGAGAGGGGTCTGGGCTTTGGTGGCTGCTCAAAGCTCTCCTTGGGTGTCACCAAACCATTGCCTTCCTGCTTGGAGAGCTGTGGGATTGGGTTGTAAATCATGGGGGTTGGGGCAGGAAAGGGAATTCTTGGAAAATAAAGGTGTGGTTTTGGGTTTACTCCTCAAAACCCTTTTCCTGGGGTGCTTCTACCTGCAGTAAGCCAAAATCTCCAGCCTATGTAACAGCAAGTGTTAATGGGAAATTCTGCACCAAGTGTTTGATGTGCCCATCCCTAAGGTGAACAATCAGCATTTCTGAGGTGCTGTGGCTGTTTGTTGAGCTCAGGAAATGATCAGCTGGGCCTGTGTCGCTTTTCTTTCTGATTTTCAGGGTTTGAGGGTGTGATGGGCAGTGCCTGGGTGGTGTCATGGCCAAATAGGGGCTGTGGTGGCACCAACAGCAGTTCATAAGAGTGAATGTATTTCTCTTAACATTTTTTCCTTCTAAAAGTGAAATGCACCATGGAGTTCTTGCTGTTGTAGGTGGGGGTTGTTCTTTGGCCTCCAGATTGGTTTGGAATCAGAGGAACGTGCTCAGATCACCAACTGTGCTGGAATTGAACACRGCACCAGAGCCAAATCACAGAGCTGTGGGATGATTTGGGTTGGGAGGGAGCTTAAATCCCATCCAGTGCCACCCCATCCATGGCAGGGACACCTCCCACTGTCCCAGGCTGCTCCAGCCTGGCCTTGGATGCTTCCAGGGATCCTGGGGCAGCCACAGCTTCTCTGGGAATTCCATCCCCACCTTCTCAGGGAACAATTCCTTCCCAAAATCCCCTCCAACCCTTTCCTCTTTTCAGGCAAAACCCCACCTGTAATCAAACAATTTGATTCAATCAATACAACCCAAAGGTAAGAGGCAAATCTGAGTCTTTTGGTTCATATTTCAGTTACACTGAGTTTTTTTCCTAGCCTGGTGCTCAGTGCAAGAATTCCTGATTGTTCCTAAGAAGTGGAAAGCCAGGATGAGTAAAAATATCTCCAAACAGTTCAAATATTCCACAATATTCTGTTTGTAAATTCCAAGCTCTTTCACGTGCTGTGCAGTGGCAGCTGCGAGTTCAGGGGGAATGGGAAGAGCTGCAGTTTTGTGAGTGGCTACCAAGAATTTACTGCAGGGGGAAAAAAAAAAAAAGATAATTAGGCCTTTTTGATTAATTTTTATGCAGAGGGGTGAAAATGAAACCGAAACAACTCCAGCGTGGTTGGGGTGGAGGATGGGAAAGTGCTCAACAGAAAATGGGAATAAGGAGATTAGAGACACTGAAAGGTTTCTAGAAAATGTTGGAAGGCTTTTATAAATCTCTAATTTTGGTGTAAGTTTTCCAAATTTATGAATTCTTCGTGCCTCTTTCTTTTTTTAAATCTGTTAAATTTAAAAGTTGGATTTTCATTGAGTTTCAGCTCAGGTGCCACAGAAAAAGGAGAAACCAAAGCCACCTCCTCGTGTCTGATTCTCCTCTTGCAGTCTTTGCCTCACCTTAATTAAATGCGTTAAWTTATTAATTTTCCTCTTGTTTTTTTGATTTTTTTTTGTTTGTTTTTAGGGGGCAGCACTTAAATACTTGCCAGCCATTGTCAATGATGTGAAATTAGTGTTTGATCCTAAGGAGCTCAGGTGAGTAGAGTTAATTAAATTGGGAGTGTTAATTTTATGTAAATCTGTATTTTTTTATGTATTTATGCACTCACAAATTATAAAAATATAAACTTAGCCAATGAAATATGGATCAGCTGAGAAGTTTATCACTTTTTATTATCTATTTGTTGGTTTTATTACCTATTTTTTTCCCTTGCAAAATATTTTTAAGCATCCCATTAAGAGCCTGGGTTTTTTTAAATAAAATATGTGACAAATACATGACCAACTTTGCAGTTTAAAATGATTTAGCAAGAATTATCAATCAGTGGCAGCTGACACCAGAACTCTTAAGTTGGACCATGATGCTTGATTCTTTCAAGTATAAATTTCAGGTAAATAATAAAATAATAAATAATTCACTGAACCCTATTGTGGATCGATTTCTCAGTAGCTCATAAACACTGCAGTGTTGTTAGTAAATAAAAAGGGCAATAACAAAATGTTTAAGAAAAAAAGAAGCAATAGAGCAATCAAATAAAAAATGGTATTTCAGGGGAATGTTTAATTTAAAGAGAAAAAGTATCATTTTAACTTTAATGGTGCTGTTATAAATTGAAAAAAAACCCACTTTGAATCTAACTTAATTACGTAAACCATTCTTTATATGGTCTGTTTTTATTTTTGTGGTCTTGATATGTCAAAAGGAGTAAAGAGTGATAAAATAGATAAATATAATCTTAGTCTGATGTTCCAGTGGCCTCAGGAACCTGTCTCTTTGACCTTTTGCTTGCCTGGAGTGTGAAGTGTTTTACATCTTTACTTGTCTGGGCTTAGGAAATAGAGATTTGTGGAGTTAAATKATAATTTTGGTATGGGACAGCAAAAGTAGTGGGAAAACAAATGAAAATGCAGGGATTGGCCTGTTTGACCCCAAATACTCCTGTTTTTCTCTGGTATTACCAATGCAAATTGCAATTAAGTCTTGGGAGTATTTAAATTGAGGTTGAGTTATAATTAAAAGTGAAGTCTCAATAGGAAAAGGAAAGAACTCAAGATTTTAGGAAGGAATTCAAAATTATTGAAAAGTCTTGTCAGTATTAGGTGGGAGCTCAGCTGAGGGGTGGGATGGTACCTTATCATCCTAAAATACCTCTTTCTGGGTTTTTTTAAGTTATAGGTTTTTTTGTTGAGAGTTAATTACCACTTTGTTTTTGACATCTGTAATTGGGAATTTGTTGATTGAAGTGAGCACAGACAAGGAAAACTTGAAATCTAAAAACTGAAACGAAAGAGAAGAAAAGTCTAAAACTGAGATCAAAGGGAGGGGGCAAATGAAATTAAAACTGAAGAAATTCATTCGAAACTTTTGTTCATTAAAAACTGAAGAAATTTGTTTGAAACTTTTGTTCATTAAAAACTGAAGAAATTTGTTCAAAACTTTTGATGCTTCTCCAGTTTTTGGGTTGATTTTTTTGAATGTCTCAAACGATTGAGTTCGTTCCTCCAAAAGTGTGAGGTTGTGTGTCTGTTTTTTTTACCTCTGGCTGTTTTCCCATGGCTGGGCCAGGGTTTAATGGGATTTTTTTCCTTCCCCTGGTGCAGCAAGCTGTTCACAGAGTTCATCCTCAACGTGCCCGTGAGCCGCCTGACCATCCAGAAGCTCTACTGCCTGATCGAGATCGTGCACAGTGATCTGTTCACCCAGCACGGTGAGCACCCTGCCCTCCTGCACCCCAGGGAGCTGGGACACCTTCAGGGTGCTCCATTGGAGAGGATAAAAGGATTTAGGATCAGAATCCCTGAAAGGTTTGGGTTGGGAGGGACTGTAAAGCCCAGCTTAGTGGGCGCCTTCCCATATCCCCATCCAGCCTGGTCTCAGCATGGGACAATCCTATGGACACTGCAGGTTGAATGTGGATTTTAGAGACTAGAAAAAAGGGTTTTTTTAATGGAAAAATTGATGAAGTATTGGAATGGSATGCCCAGGGAGGTGGTGGAATCACCATTCCTGGGTGTGTTAAACAAAGATTGGATGTGGTGCTTGGTGCTGTGGTTTATTTGAGGTATTAGGCATGGTTGGACTGGAAGATCTCGAAGGTCTCTCCAACCCTGGTGATTCTGGGATTCTATGATAAAAAAGTTGAAGTGCAAAATTATAAAAAAAGTGCAATTTGTTGTTTTAAAAGAGTACAAAGCAACACATTATTGCCTCTTTTGTGACTTCATGTTGGGGATTATAAAAATCATTAATTTGGTTTTTGTGCTCAGTGAACCTTTTTTGGGGGGAAATTGAGGGGTTTGATGTCCTGTCTGCCTCGGGGCCATTCCCTTTCTGCAGCCAAGCAGCACAGAAACCTTCCACAGTGTGCTCTTCACCCATGCCTGATTATTTTCTCCTTTCCTATCAATGGTCCAGTGAAAGAGAAATTGAGGCACTTACCCTCCGAGGTTTCCTCCTCAGAGATGGAACACTTGGTTCTTTTCCAGGCTGGCTGMGGGTTAAACTGACCCAAACCAGGTGTCAGAGGAGGTCATGAGGGAGCAAAYAGGCACTGGTTTGGTGAGAAGGGAGATTGGAAAGGATTTTTCTCTCAAATTATAAAAGCTGGGACAGCTGAGTGCTGATGGAACAAATTTTTTCTGGTTCGAACTGAAGAAATCTGCTGGGTAGATTGGCGTTGTGGTGGTTTTATTAAATTCTTAAATCTCTGGAAAACAGAATTTACCGCTGTGTCACCGTGTTCTTGCTGCCTTGAGAGTGCAGAAATTTGGTGGAAACAGCAAGTCCAGATTTTATCTTCACTTTTGAGATAATTTGGAATTTTTCAGTCCTTAAATGCTGGATTTTCCACTGTCCCAGGCTGCTCCAACCTTCTCAATATCCCATCTAAATCCATTCCCTGTGTCCTGTCCCTCCATCCCTTGTCCCCAGTCCCTCTCCAGCTCTCCTGGAGCCCCTTTAGGCCCCAAAAGGGGCTCTGGACTCTCCCTGGATCCTGCTCCTCTCCAGATGAGCAATCCCAGCTCTCCCAGCCTTTCCTCACATGGAAAGGGCTCCATCCCTCTGATCTTCTCACCATAATTCTTCATCATCACCATCATCCTCCAGAATTTGTGTCTGAAGTCCCAGTTGTGCTGGGAACCTTTCACAAACACTAAAATTCACCTGAAAATAAATCAATTCCCTATCTCCAGCTTTTATAAAATTTAGATTTTTTTCTTTTATCTTGCTCTGTGGGTTGGAGTTCATTCAAATGGAGTTACCTGCYCTTCCTCCTTCTCATTGATTCAGGAAATTTAAACTGACAGGGAATACTTTCATATGAGCTGTCAGCTAATCCTGGATCCTGTTGCACAAAGGAGATTTTCTTTTCTAAAAGCAATATGCACTGCAGGATTGTGGACTTAAGGAAGGCTGGCAAATGCACAGAAAATTTCATCACCCTCTTTCTGGTGGGGAACAAGGCTCTAATTCTGTGCTTTGAGAGGTCAGGGATGATTTATTTGTGTCTCCAGAGGAATTAAAATTCAAAATGCATGAATTTGTGAAGCTGGAAGGATTTGGGGGTGAGAGGGGTTGGGTGTGTGAAGCAGTTTGCTAAAACATTTTGCTTTAGTGATGTTGAGTGATGGAGAATTCGGTGTGAAATCTGGAGAATTTGGGACCTTGGACCAGAATGGACTCTGGTGGTGG